TAAGCCTTGGGCAGCTGGTGACGTTTCACAAGGAGCTCTGCTGAAACCGCTGTAGTAAATGCCTGACTCCGCTGTTTCTGCGTTAGCATTATAGCAGAGAACAATGTGTCATCAATCAGATGTAGCTTCTGAAGCCTCTACTAGTCGGTCAGATATGTTTTTTCTCTGGGATACGGTGACAAGGACGAATATTGGATTACCGGAGTTCAACCGAACTCAGACCCCGCCGGCTGGATATCACTACCAGAGGTGCAGACATGTTTTAGACCGTTTGACTCAGAAGACCTGCGACCCGATTTGGACATAGGAGGATTCTGTTCATCTTCAGAACCAAAATTGGTACAGTTTGTTTACTTTTCTTTAATATGTCATTTCTGTGCTCCACTGGGAGCTCTAAGCTGACAAGTTCTCAGCTGGTCTTAGTTCCATCACGTGTCCCAATATATTTCAGTAATCTACAGTTTTACTGCTGTGTGTATTTATTGATATAACTCTGGAAAATATTTAACCAACAATTTACCAGAATAAATCTTCCTGATGCTGGAGTAACTCCTTAGCTCAATTCGTTGTTTGCACTAATCCAGGATGTCACGGAGGTTCTAATGTTGAAATATAGAGATCATCTTTTAGATTATATCTGTGTGTGTGTGTGTGTGTGTGTGTGTGTGTGTGTGTGTGTGTGTGTGTGTGTGTGTGTGTGTGTGTGTGTGTGTGTGTGTGTGTGTGTGTGTGTGTGTGTGTGTGTGTGTGTGTGTGTGTGTGTGTGTGTCGTAGCTTTCCCAAAGAACTTGTTCTTTCCTTACCAGAGCTAACACGGTTAGCAGTTTTGCTGCAGTCATGCTAACGGGACTCGTCTGGAGTCCAGAAGTAGCGGTGCGGTTCTAGATGGATTTATAGATGTAGTTTATTATTTTAGATCAGACCTGTTATTTAAAATGCATGTAGGACACAGACACATGGCTCAGACCTTTTGCTGCAGCTGTAAACGCAATTTTACGTAATAATTAGGAGCATGAAAGTAAACAAATAACGGTGATTCACAATACTAGCATCAGCAGCTACCTTGTTTTACGTGCTGGAATGACGTATGCGAAACACAGTTCTTCAATGTCTGGAGGAGAGGATTTGGATTTTCTGTCATGATTTATGACAAAAGTCATTAACAAAATAAAAAACTGAACCCAGTACATGTTTATATAGATGGTAAAGTGTAGTTATTTTGCATATCTACAATTTTAATGCCAAGCCAATACCTTTAACCCTTCACCACTGAAATCACTTTGCTCCTTCCAATCCTCCTAAATAATCCTCCAATCATCCAACTGGAATCCTTAAGGGTCCCGTAACGTCCATCCTGTCAGAATAGGCCTTGGGAGCCCAGGTGTTACTAGAACTAATGGTGTCTCCACACCAGCGTGAGCCTCCAAACTGTGAAGGTTGGTCTCCAAACATGAACTTTAAATTCATGCATTTATCTCCTCTTGTAACACTTTAACATTTTTTAAAAGGCTTGCATCATGATATGTTACACCTCCCAGACCAAAGATAGGTCCAATATAAGATAAAACATGATCATAAACACTGCAGAGACATCATTATTTATGAAATATGAGTTATTTTCCTGAGCCATTACTTCAGCCAAGAAATAAGATGCATGGATTTGATGAAACCATGCTGTCTCATGCAGTCCTATATGTGTAACTAACACACACACACACACACACACACACACACACACACACACACACACACACACACACACACACACACACACACACACACACACACACACACACACACACACACACACACACACACACTCGCTAGAATCATCTGAATGACTAATTTAACTACATTGAACTGCTTTTGTAATAATGTAATCTCTTATTCTGGAGTAAAACAAGCTAAATCATCACATATCTGTGGCATCAAGGGGCATCTTGAGTTCAAACACAGGGATGGAGCACAATGTTTACACCTGAAACAGCATCAGGATGTTTTAACTCACAGAGGCCTGCAGGTCTTCTGTTTAATTAGCAAAGTACTGAGAATCCGCTTGTTATGAGCGCTAAACGTTATTTTGCCGCTGCCGTGTGGAACGGAAGGGAAACACATCTCAAACACGGAACCGAGTCTGGTTACCGAACCGAGCAAAATTCTGATGACGTCACACCGATGCGCGAAGGTGCGGGATCCAACCCACAGGAGAGGAGGGAGAGAGGAGGTAAAGAGCGAGTGGATCACAGGGACTGAACTGATGTTTGAGCAAAACTGCGGTAAAATGGCTGTTTGTCCTCATTATCTAAAGTGTACCCCCCCTGCTAATTCGTTACTTTCCACCTCTGCTTTTTATTATTTTTGCAAAATGCAGGACCAGAGCGAATACGGTTTGGTTAGAAAAATGAGACAGTCCAAATGTTAATAGGGCCACTAATAGCTTACTGCTATTATGGACCAGTCCGAAGTCGGCATAAAAAGCGTCGGTACTGTTGGCCCAAAAAGAATGTCCACCAACCACTGTACGCCTGATAGAGAGCCCAGCGGTGGCACGGATGCACATTAATAGTTATTAATGAAATATCGCAATAAAGAGCCTCCAGTTCAGATGCTAACGCTAGCATGAATGTACAAAGATGAAAAACAAAAACGTGGTCCTACATGACAAATCTATAATTCCAGTCATTAAAAATAAATATTTAACTTTCCACCATAAAACTCCCAAAATTACTATGGTGCAAGTGATGTTTCATTTCGTGTCATGTTTTGTAAGCTAAACTTTGACAAGTGGGTTTCTGGTGATCTATAGATTGACTTAACACTAACCAAAACCACAATTTACATTCTTAAGAGTGATAAACTTACCTTTTAGAAGCTTTCAAGTTGGAGGATGAACAGTGATTGTCTTCTTTTTCTTCTTCAACGTAGCTGACTGCTGACTGTTCAAGAACAGAACTTCAAAAATGTGCTTCAAAAGAAATACTGTATTAGACAGTTTTTTGGCCGTGATTTTCCGGCTGTCATAATTCAACAAAAAAACATCAGATTTAACATTATCCCACCGTAATTTGGAAAATCGGTATGTTACTGTTGGAATTCTGCCGTAAATTTACAGAAATTTCTGAGTGTTGATAAGAGATACCCGAATGCACTCACCCTTCCAGCTAACCTTAGCTCGACTGACTGACGAAGCGGGTTCTAGAGCCCTATTTATAGGCTGGCAAGATGACGTCACAAAGCGACGTAATAACGTCGAAACCTCTCAGACCAAAGATAGGTCCAATATAAGATAAAACATTATCATAAACACTGCAGAGACGTCATTATTCATGAAATATGAGTTATTTTCCTGAGCCATTACTTCAGCCAAGAAATAAGATGCATGGATTTGATGAAACCATGCTGTCTCATGCAGTCCTATATGTGTAACTAACTAACACACACACACACACACACACACACACACACACACACACACACCAGCAGCAGCAGCAGCATGTTAGAATCATCTGAATGACTAATTTAACTACATTGAACTGCTTTTGTAATAATGTAATCTCTTATTCTGGAGTAAAACAAGCTAAATCATCACATATCTGTGGCATCAAGGAGCATCTTGAGTTCAAACACAGGGATGGAGCACAATGTTTACACCTGAAAAAGTATCAGGATGTTTTAACTCACAGAGGCCTGCAGGTCTTCTGTTTAATTAGCAAAGTACTGAGAATCCGCTTGTTATGAGCGCTAAACGTTATTTTGCCGATGCCGTGCGGAATGGTAGGGAAACACATCTCAAACACGGAACCGAGTCTGGTTACCGAACCGAGCAGAATTCTGATGACGTCACACCGATGCGCGAAGGTGCGGGATCCAAGCCACAGGAGGAGGGAGAGAGTAGGTAAAAAGCGAGTGGATTACAGGGACTGAACTGATGTTTGAGCAAAACTGCGGTAAAATGGCTGTTTGTCCTCATTATCTAAAGTGTACCCCCCCTGCTAATTCGTTACTTTCCACCTCTGCTTTTTATTATTTTTGCAAAATGCAGGACCAGAGCGAATACGGTTTGGTTAGAAAAATGAGACAGTCCAAATGTTAATAGGGCCACTAATAGCTTACTGCTATTATGGACCAGTCCGAAGTCGGCATAAAAAGCGTCGGTACTGTTGGCCCAAAAAGAATGTCCACCAACCACTGTACGCCTGATAGAGAGCCCAGCGGTGGCACGGATGCACATTAATAGTTATTAATGAAATATCGCAATAAAGAGCCTCCAGTTCAGATGCTAACGCTAGCAAGAATGTACAAAGTTGAAAAACAAAAACGTGGTCCTACATGACAAATCTATAATTCCAGTCATTAAAAATAAATATTTAACTTTCCACCATAAAACTCCCAAAATTACTATGGTGCAAGTGATGTTTCATTTCGTGTCATGTTTTGTAAGCTAAACTTTGACAAGTGGGTTTCTGGTGATCTATAGATTGACTTAACACTAACCAAAACCACAATTTACATTCTTAAGAGTGATAAACTTACCTTTTAGAAGCTTTCATGTTGGAGGATGAACAGTGATTGTCTTCTTTTTCTTCTTCTTCAACGTAGCTGACTGTTCAAGAACTGAACTTCAAAAATGTGCTTCAAAAGAAATACTGTATTAGACCATTTTTTGGCCGTAATTTTCCGGCTGTCATAATTCAACAAAAAAAAACATCGGATTTAACATTATCCCACCATAATTTGGAAAATCGGTATGTTACTGTTGGAATTCTGCCGTAAATTTACAGAAATTTCTGAGTGTTGATAAGAGATACCCGAATGCACTCACCCTTCCAGCTAACCTTAGCTCGACTGACTGACTAAGCGGGTTCTAGAGCCCTATTTATAGGCTGGCAGTATGACGTCACAAAGCGACGTAATAACGTCGAAACGTAGAGTGAGAGGAGGACGCAAACGCAGACAACGGCTGGACAAACGGATTCCATTGGCTTCAATAACACGTTTGTTGTCTATAATGGCAGGTGGCCACCACCGCCATTTTGACCGTGTCACAGGTTCCGTCCAGCCCAGACAATTCCATAAAAGGGAAGAGAGGAGGTGCTGAGGGTGTGGCTGTAAGGCTGGGCTCGAGTGACGACACCCAGGCGAACTAGCTACGAGCTAACCTGAAGCTAACCCAAAAAAAATAATAATAATAAAAAAAAAAAAAACCTGAAGCTAACCCTGGCTAACCCAAAGCTAAAGCGGAGGTGGGAGCCGAGCTAACGGATGTAGCCACCTAGCTTCAACCCAACCGGAGCTAACTGGAACACCCATCGACCTGAACCTCACACGGAGTTTAGGTGGAGGTTTTCTGCGCCTGTTCGTGAGAAGTACCTGTATTAAAAAAGATTTAAATCGGTAAGTTTATAATTTATTTCCGTAATGAATACATTTTGCTTTGAGCAAGTTTTCAGTACAGTTTTTTTCGGCGCTATCACTCCTGAGTCGCACCAGCCATTAAATGTATCATGAAGAAGACAAAATATATTTAAGTCGTATTTTGGGGGACATTTTATTATCTTTCTTACAAAATCTGAGACCAAGCGTTTCACATTGCAACACAAGCACCGGTAACCATAACAGAATGAACAACAGCCAGCAGAGGAGAGGATGGCGGTGTTTCAAACCCTCCCGGCCGGCGAGGAGAGCTCATTCCTGGGCTGGAGCCGGCCCTCAGCACCCCGCCACAGGCTCTAACAGATGCTGGCGGTGTTTGAAACCCTCCCAGCGGGACAGGGGAACTCATTCTTGTGTGGGTCGGAGTCGGCCCGCAGCAGCGCGGTGTAGCCTACATATTTTGTTATATAAGTCGCTCTGGAGTATAAGTAGCAGGACCAGCCAGAATATGTAAAAAAGTGCGAGTTATAGTCCGGAAAATATGGCAGTTATTAGTATTCGAGCTAAATTAGCAGCGTAAATACATTTCATATATTTCCAAAATGTAATACTTGTTTGTATCTTGTACAGCCAACTAGTCTTTATTCTGGACTCAGTACAATTTACCAAAAGTAAAGAGACATTCTACAGATGAAGTAAGCACAAGATAACTTACTGGAAGACACGGGATTATCATGAGAACCAGAACAAGAGAGCCTGATAACAGTCATGTGAAAATAACAGTTAAAAAGTATGTATGTATAATAGAAATAAAAATATATTAGAATTAGTGTAACTCACTGTGATCCAAACAATAAATCAGCCATAGCTGATTAGTAAATATGACATGAGGTCTTGGGAGTTTTTAATTTTCATTTTTTTCTTAGATCTGTTTAAATGTCACCATGGCAGCCTGTGTGTCTCCAACATCAGCTACACAAAGCAGCTAGTGTAAGTTCCACATACCTGTCTCACCACTTCATGTATGGTTTTGTACTTTGAACAATTATGACAAACCTGTTATTTTTTCTCCATAGCCATTTGGATCATTGGAGACAGCTATGTGAGGCGTGGTGCCCAGAGAGCTGCAGAGACAACCTTGGCCTCCCTGACGTCTGTGTCTCCTGGTTCGGTTGGGGCGGACCATCGACATACATACATGTGCCGACACTTTGCGCCCTGTTTTATAAAATTTAGTGTTAAAAATAAATGTTTTTGCTCAATTACTGGAATTTCTTTGGTTAAGACAAAAGTGAGGAATAATCATTTACAAGTTATTTGTACAACAGGCCCATTTTAAATCCCAACAGTTTCTTAGCAGACAATAGAAATGTGTTCTTTACTAACTTTACTTGGTTTAAAAATCTTACTAAAATAGTGCCGTATTGCAAAACCCAATCATACTTGTTATGTAAACATTAGCTTTGTAGATATTTTTTACAGATATATGTGTGCAACAAATCCAAACTTAAATAATTTGTCATTCTTTATTGAAAAACAACAAAATACAGTTATACAGAAGTGTGGGAAAATGATAATGTGAAAGTATTGCTATTTAAATGTAATCCTATTTATCTTTAAAAAGAAAAACTCTTAAAAATGTCCTGTACAGCATCATGACAGAAGAATGGTGGTCTGTCTGTCAGAATGTGCTGAACAGATTTGCTCTTTGAAGAAGAGTGTCATGTTTGGAGGAAGGTACTTAACCCAAGACATGCAGAATACAACACTGACCAAAAACTGATGGAAAAAATGATTTATTTATAAGGAGGAACTTAAGGTGCACAGATAAGTCTGTGGTTGGAACTGCAACAACAGCTCAGCGTCTGGAGGAGGGAGAACACAGGTGAGCATAGGTTCTGGTTTCAAAATCCATTGTAGGCAGGCAGAGGTGTTCAGCAGACTTACTGTGGTGGGTGTATGTGTTGGCTGGAGGAGAGAGAGGTAGAGAGGAAGCGCAGGAGAGGGAGCAGAGGTGGAGAGAAGCGGGGCGTCCTGGTGGATGGGGCACTGGGTGAGATGAGAGGTGGGTTATGGAGGCTGGTGATAAGGTCCGTGTGTTGAATATCCAAATCCTGGAGTAGAGTTCAGTATCCAATGAGGTCGACAGGAATCCTGAAGAACGGTAAATCCAATATAAGAGCAAAAACACTACGAAATAACATTAATCCTAGGAACACTAGAGGTAACACGAGTGGCTGGTTACTACCAAAACTGAGGCAATCTTCTGGCGTCAAATTGTGTCCTCCATCCACCTTAAATAGGAAAGCACCCCGCTGATTGCTGATCAGGAACGGCTGGGGTGGAGTCACCAGAACCATGAAGAACGTGTCTCCAGAGACAACCCGGGTCCTGGTACCAATCAGGAAGCGGATCTTATCACCCAGAGCTGCCAGGTCACGCTCAAAGCCTTCCTGTTCACACTGCAGAGCCTGAACGCTGGCCAGGTGGTGGCCATAGTTGTCTGTGTTCAGGGCCTGGTTCTTCTCCTCGATCCACTCTTTGGTCTCATCAGCGTCTCTGAGAAGACATCAGAACTCCATCTGAGTGTGGGTCCAAACTCTACTGACCCGTAAGCGGCGCATAAGTGTGCGGGGTACCTGTGGAAGCGCTGCACCTCATGGGCGCTGCCCAGCATGTTGCTCCGGTCTTCAGCCAGCTGTTGCAGCGAGCGCCAGCTGTTGTTCAGCTCCTGGAGAGAAACCAAACCCAGTGAGATGAAGGTGGACGCCAGCGGGCTGGACGCCGGACAAGGAAACCTGGAGACGGATCGCTCAGACAGGAAGGGAAGAGCTTCCTCTTACCTTGATGGAATTAAAGTTAGCCGTCGTCTGAACGCCCAACCGTACGGTCTGAGGTCAAAGGTCACAGGAAACACACACCAGTCAGCAGTCATACAGATGCATAAAGATAACTGTAGCCATGGCAACCAGCTGACATGTCCCCACTTTCACCAGCACCTGGTGCCTGCCGGGTCACCTGAATTCCTGTGTGATGTCAGCACGGTCGGCCGTGACTGCGGCCATCAGAGGTGACCTCTGATCAGCTGAATGAACTCACCTTCTAGGGTGACGCCGTGTTACCCCGGGTTTCCACGGGAGCCGTCAGCAGCACGTTACTGCAGCAGCACGTCTTGCTCGCGTAAGCTGCTGCTTGGCCCTTCCCACGAGACGCGAAGCAGCAGGGGAGCAGCTGTCACCGACCGAGCACGAAGTCACACGAGTGACTTCGTCAGTAAACACAACAACAAGCAGGAGAAAACTACAACATGGTTTGTGTTTTATGTTCTGTCCATTTTATAATCGCCAATACGGACCTGAAAAACAAAGGAGACCGCTAGCTAGGTGATAACTTCTCACGGGGCCGCACAGTTAGTAACTGTTTTTAAAAGTAAAGCAACCGGAAGGCAGTACGTTCTTTATTCTGAAAATCTCGGTAGCTTCTCTCAATTTCCGCGTCCGATTTCCTGTCTTTCCTTCCCCAAAAATGTCGAACTTGACCCGTTTCAGAGGCGTCGCGCGTAGAAAATAGAACCGGCGCGTAAGGGCCGCAACTTGCTGCTCCTGAGACGCGGCCGACTCTCGCTGCCGACGGCTCCAGTGGAAAAGGTTCTGTTGACCACAGCGGTTCCTATCAGCAGCTATGACGTGCTGCTGCAGTAACGTGCTGCTGACAACTCCTGTGGAAAGCCGGGGTTAGAGTCGGCTTCATCCTGTAAACAAACAAATGAGTGGTAACAAAAACACCACGTCTGGTTCTGGTGGAGGCGGAGGACAACACGCACCTTTCCAGGAGCAGAACCCAGATGTTCTTGTTGCTACAAACAGAGACGAGCAGAGTTAACAAACCAGGAAGTGAGAGGGACCAGCTGCTGCAGACAGGTGACGCTCACCTGAGCCTGAACCATAGGAGCCTCCTCAGCCATCAGACCTTCTGACTCCAGTTCAGATGCCACCTTGTTGATGTCCCTCAGGCGGGACTCGTTGGCCTACAGGTCCTGCAGGACAAAAGCACCTGCTGATTATCACCTGAGCTGATCTGACAGCTGCTGCTGGAAGACGGAGAGGAGGAAAAGTCCGACCTTCTGGAAGTCGTCAAACTTCTTCTGCAAGACCTCGACCTGCTCCAGGTCCGACCCGTCTCTCCATCCTCATTCAGCTAAAGACGCGAGTTCAAGTAAAACAACCTAAAGTCACACAAACACAAAGCAGGTGTGGAGATGTTCGCTCTGAGCTGGAGGTCGTTCCTCGGCTGTGAAGGGCACACGAACCTTGTTGGTGCTGTTGAGCAGCGTGAGGATGTCGCCCTTCTTCATGGTGACCTCTCCAGGACTCTTCTCCTGGTAGTCGTACAGAGCCAGAACCAGCTCCTTCCCGGTCTCATCGTCAGTTGGAGCCACTTGTTGCTGTCGGGTTAACAGGTCTGGTGTTAGAACGTGGTGGATAAGAATGTTCTGACGGGCCGAGGGTTCTGAACCAGCGAAGTGACCTGGACCCAAACAAAGTGAGCCAGAACCTGCAGACACCTCAGAAACATGTCAGGACCAGACCTGCTCTACCTTCCTCCATTATGGTCTCTCCTTTCTGGGTGACAGCCTTGATGCGAGGTTCATGACCTGTGATCTCAGCCTGCAGAGCCTGGTGCTTCTTCAGCAGGTTCTGGACACCAATCAGGTCCTTCCCTGAGGACACATGTTAGAGTTCAGCATTATGCAGTAGACAGACCAGTTTAACCCAGGGGTTTCTTTCTTCTACAATCTGCTCTTTAACTGTATTATTTCCTGCTATTTCAGCTGTTAACTTCATTTTTTCTCTAAGTGTTTTTCTCCCCAGAAGAAGCTACAACGACGTTCTGCTGAGCTGTGGTGGCCTCATGGAGGGGGCCATCATCTAGCACACTGCTGCTAACCACTTAATCATTCTCCCTCTCCTGATAATAACATTTTACTTTCTTTGATGTTGGATGTACTACTGCTAGTTTACCCGTTTAATTATAGATTCACTAGGATAAATACAATAAAGTTTATCTCTCACCAAATAGAATATTTACTAAGAAATCACAATGTAACGTGTGTGTGTGTGTGTATGTGTGTGTGTGTGTGTGTGTGTGTGTGTGTGTGTGTGTGTGTGTGTGTGTGTGTGTGTGTGTGTGTGTGTGTGTGTGTGTGTGTGTGTGTGTGTGTGTGTAAAAGCCATGTGTAGTGTTTATTTATAAAGCATATGTTGTTGGATTTTATCCAGAATCGAGATTTTGAAAATATATACACACTTAAAACTGCTGGGTTAAAAATAACCCAACTTGGGTTATTTTGTAACCCAGGCGCTGGGTCAAAAAGGGACCGACCCAACGCTGGGTTGTATTAACCAAGCAGGGTTGGGTTATGTGTTTGACCCAGCATATTGGGTTATGTTTTCTACCCAACTAATGGGTTAAAATGACCCAACTGTATAATTAGGGTAACCCAAAACTGGGTTAAAAAGAAAACCCAACTTCTGGGTTATTTAATAACTAAAGATTGGGTTAAAATGACCCAATTCTATAATATAGGGTTATAGGAAAAAAAATAAATAAAATGCTTAATGAATAACTTACTACACAAAATGAACATGTCTCAGTCAATTCTTTATTGACCAAATAAGTTTTTTTTTTCATTTTTAAAATGCATAACAATACTAATACAACTAGAGAGTATTTAAAAACATTTATAGTCCCGCTCATTTTTTTTTGTAAAACTCTGCTTATTGCATTTGTGTAAATGTGTTTTAATGACAAATATTAAAATATTAGACACCTGAAGATCATGAACATTTTCAACCCAATGCTAATGGAAGAACTGTACTTACGTAAATGTCCAAAAACATGTAACTCATCTCCATGCTAGCAAAACATCAACTTTAAATCATAGCCAACTGAGCCCTCATTAGCTTTACAGCATTTGATTCATGCCCAGGCATTTCAAAGATGACCGTTTGAATGAACTCCCAAATTTGGGCACATGGTTTTGGGTAATTCACATCTAACACAAAAAATGTTTTAAAACAGCCATCAACTGCACCCAAAAGTGATGGATATTCCATGGCAGTCCCATTGAGGATAACGAATGCTTGGGAACATCGATGGTCTTCACCAAGCATAAGAACATGTGGGTCGTCTGTTGTGGCCCCGGTCAGGTACTCCACCATGTTGGTTCCAGTCTAAAAGTAAGGGGAATTGAAGAAAAAAAAAGAGAAAGAAAGGGAAAAAAATTAAGGCATGAAAAAGAAATGGTTTCATACAAGTTGTGGAAGCATATTTGGAGTTGGCTGTCAATAATAGTGGTGCAACTGTACAGATAGCCCACAGTACGGTCTGTAGTACGGTTTTTAGACCACGGTCTCAGTATGGTTTTGGCATACGTTTTGTGCAGAAAGGCTGCTGTTTGTTATCCCAAAAAGTGTATTTAATTTTTTTGTGAGCAAAAACATTTGCATTATTTCAATTATTACTTGTATCAAATACAAAATCTAAAAAGATATGTAAAATGTAAACAAACAAAATGCAAAACACAAAATGCATGTAAACACTCCAAAAAACTGGAATACAAAAATTCACATACCGGTAATATAAAGATGACTATTTTAAATGAGTGAGCTATGTTAATGAAACACAAAGTTTAAAATAGTTTAAACAAATGTTATATTTTGCACTGCAGCAATGCATACAATTGAGTCCTCAATGGTTCATTGCTCACTAAACACAAAAGCTGCATTAATGTCTAGCTCGCAAACTGGGAGCTGACTGCTCAGAGAAAGACAGGGAGAGGTCAGCAGCTCCTGTGCTGCACACAGAACAGCTGACAGGCCAGAGCAACTTGGGATTTCCGCAAAATAAATCAGAAAACCATCATTCAAAGACATTTATTTAATTCTGACCACGTCAATTGGAGACATGTTTCCTGACTTCCAAACTTTGGCTGACAACCCAGCGAGCGTTTGGCGTCAGGTGCAGGTGGAGTGGCGCTCTGTGCCAGACAAGATGCAGAGCCATGCGCTCTCACATAAGTGTAATGAATTCATGTAGCCTGTAACTCTGCTCCATGTGTGGCATGGTTTAGAGTAGGAATGGGCGATATAAACTTAATCCACAATAGAGATTTTCCCTCTACTGCAATAGAATGGATTTTTCCAGCTGTACCATGATGGGACGCAGCAGCATAAATGATGTTCAGCGTTTATAGTCCCTGTAGATCAGAAATCGCACTGCCATTTTAATTAATACTGAACCAAACCAGCCTGAACAGAGATTCAAACCGTGCCACCACACATGGACCAGAGTAACAGGCTACAGGAATTAATTATAAACACACCTGTTACCAGAGTGCGTATGGCGCTGCGTCCTGCCTCGCACAGAACGGCGCTCCCCCTGCACGAACGAGAGCTAACAATGCTAACAGTAAATTAGAAAGAGTCAACTCTAAAAATATCTCAAGTTGCTTTTTTCAATTACCACAGATGCTATTGGAGTGAAATGTATTTATCTACTAACAATATCAACTACTGTGTCTGACTCGTCTTGTTATGATTCTAGTCCGAACGAGGAACCAGGGAGGGAATTTTTCTGCAGCACTCCGATTTGACCACAAGATGTCAGTGTTACGTATCCCTCATTAAATTTACAGTCTTTCTCCTGGCATTCAGTTTTAAGTCTGTAAATCTTTCATTTATTCATTTTACCAATTTTGAATTTATTATAATTTAATGTGCACATAAATGGAAGCAAGTGAAAAATTTAAAATTTCAATTAAAAATTTCCACTGTTATGTCAGTGCTAAATAAATATTTCAGTTTTGTTTTATTGCAATGCCTTGATTATAGTGAAGTTGGAATACATTGTAGCCATAAATGCTATGGTTGACTTTTAGCTTATTGACATGCTAATTGACCATTTTTCTTTCAGTGCTGCAGTTTTCAGCCTTGGTTTTCTCATTTTAGGTTTTTGGTTTCAGCCAAGAATTTTCATGTTGGTGCATCCCTAGAAAATAATACCTAATGTCAAAATTAATAGAACTTACTGGCTGGATGTCAATGAAGGCCTTGCGAACCACGCTGCTGGGTCGGAGGAGTCTCCTTCCAACTTTGTATGGTGCAGTAGGGAGAATCAGTGGGAGCAACAACAAAGCGGCATCTTCCTGTTTGTCTGTAAAATGGAAATGTTTCACATTTCTCAAGGTTACCAAACTTAGAAAATGACAACCATAAAATATGAACTGCAATGATTTTGAGGTCAGAACACACTGGCTGATATCTTTCAAAAACAAAGTTGGAACTATTCAAAAACAGAAAAATGGATGGGTGAAAATCTTATATCGCCCACATCAAGTCAGACAGAAAAAACTGCCTCAGATGTTACCATAAAACCTACTGAATACAACAAGTGATATGTTTGTTAAAACAAGGTGAAGTACTCCCATTGGCAACACAAGATGTTTACCATATATTCAGCTCATCTCCAAAGCTCCAGCAGATAATAAAAATTTGTAAGAAATTGTATACAGCGCATTTACTGTCCTCTAATGCCTGCACACCTAATAGGCTACGTATTGACAATGAGATCAAAATAAAAAATTTAAATGTCTCATTGTACTTATAGAGCCTTTATTTAAGCTAATTTTTCAAAGATTGTTTCATAGTTGTTTTTTTTACCGTAAATGACAAGTTGATTGATCTGAAAGAGAAGCAATACACACTGCTTTTTAAGGACTTTCCAGTTTTATCTGAGTTGATGCTAACCTTGCCCTGCAAGATGTTTTCTCGCAAGATTTGGAGTTTTCCAAACTCGTGAGAATCCATCTTGGCCTCCTCCAATCCTGACGGTTCAGCATCAGCTCAATGGTAAACGGACTAATCATGTGTCAGCATTGTGCTTTTTGGCAGGCGCATGAGCAGCTGTTTGGGCATGCCGACAAACATGGCAGTGCCGGTGGATGTCAGAGCAGTTACTGGTTTCAGAATGGATATAACCTCCAGCAAAAGGTAGGCCTAGGTAGTCTCATTTATAGCTCCAATACGGCGCTATATTGAATATCTGTTTTAGAAAAACTAGAGACTTAGCTGTGATTGGCTAAAGACAAACCATGGTAGCCAGTGTTCGGACACTTGCTGGTGCTTCCTCCAATCAGCTCAAAGTATTCCAGCAGATGGCCCACCCTCCTTCCTAGGCTTTCTAATGCAGCCTGCGGCGGAGATTCCAGATCGAAATATGGAGACTCGACAGGTGGCGGGGCTACATAGAGAGAGCTGACTGCTGCCAGCTTAAGCTGATGCAACTAGAACAGCAAACCTATAGTCCATGACCTCATCTACTTTCAGTCACTCAGAATTAGGAGGTAACTGGAATGCACCATCAGAGCTTCAGCACCTGGATTTTCAAGTTGTGTGCTGCTACTTTCTGGAGAAAAGCTGGCTGGCTATGGCCAACCTTACAATTTCTTTTATATTTCCATCCCATCTTCAAGATGTAGCCCATTATAAGGCGTGTAAAGGCTTTTAAATTGAGGACAAAGTGTGGCTTGTATAATTATTATTTAGCTGCTGAGCTACTTTATATTGGTACTGGAAACAGTTGACCTTGTTCTAACAGATATGTCTTGTTTTATTTGTTCAGTGGGGTTTATGTGAACACCTGAAGCTATTTTAACGAGTCTGTTCTGTCTGAGGCGGTTTAGTAAGAAGAATAAAAAGTGTGTTCTTGAGAAATGTCTTTTTATCTAATGTCTGACATCTGAGGTGTTCTTTCTGAGGTCTTACACATGTATTCTTGAGACCCGAGGATGTCCTAAAATGCACACTGTATAACCGTCCAGAAGGACAATGATCTTGGCAATCCACCAATCAGGCCTGGATGGTAGCATGGTCAGACAGAAGCCACTTCACAGTAAAAGGCTCGTATCAGCGATCCACTTTGAGTTGCTTGAGATAATGGGCTGCACCGCAATGCATGCTACTGGTGCAAATGGCTGAATTAAAAAAATGCACTAGTGTGTTCTGTCCCATATCAGCCTAGCCAAAAATGTTATAGTAAACTCTTGACTCAAAATAAAAATTAAATAAAGTTGACAATGATTGTGAAATGCAAATACCTGCTGGAAGCGAATCTATGTCGATGAGACGGTTAGCTGCGTCTTCTTTTCTGGCCATGCGGATGATCTTTCGGGAGAACACGTGGCTCCACCTTGCAGTTAATTTCTCTGAGGAGTCTGGGTGTAGCACAGAGAAGTCCTGAGAAATCTTACAATGGGGGGGGGGGGGGGGGGGGGGTAAGAGACATATTGTTAAACACAAAAACTGATTTGTGAAATTTACTGTATAAGAAAGCTCACCATGCCTGGAGTGTCAACCAAACGTGGAAACTCGGCCATTATTTCTCTGATTGACATTGTCCCATTGCTTCTAATCCACTGGGCTCGTTGGATAGCGGTCTCCAGCATATACTGGGAAACTTGTGATGGTGGCCAGATATTGTTTTTCAGCCATTCTGTCATCTGGATGGCTCGCTCTGGAGATACAGTAGGTTCTGTTGTAGATTAAAAAAGAAAAAAACATTCTGAATAGTGATGACTGATCATGACCTTTACAATTTAAAAATATGTCAGAATTGTTTCATTTCAGCAAATGCCCTAGAGAAAGAGTGCAACCATTAAGTAGACTGTAATGGCGCTTTTACACTTGGGCCAGCTTGTCCCGCTCCACTCCAGCCGGGTTGTGTTCACATGTTGCCGGTGAGGAATTGGGCCATGAGCGGAGCCAGCAGGTGGCGGGAAAGAATGCAGGTAAACAAAGGCAGGAGCAGCATTGGGGAGAGCGGGGGATATCTCGGAAGGAAACAACGCAGAGGAGGTCGCAATTTATTTGTACGTTGTGCGTGGACTGGCTCTTTTTAAAGAAAAAATCTCCTTGTTTGACATGTGAGGAGACGTCGTTCTGGTAGAGAATCACTGGAAGCCGCTCAGCAGAGCTGGGAGAAGGCAGACAGCACATCGGGTGAGCGCCGGTTACAGTTTCCAGCTGCAATGTGTTTAAATCAGTTAGAAAGAGCGAGAGTGACATCACTATGCAGGGCTTATCAGTTCATAGGTGGGCGTGTTGGCCAGAGTGGAACCAAGGTTTCCTCGGTCCGAAAATGGTGTCCGTTCCGCGCAGCTCTACTCGAGAAAAAGAGTGTGAACGCTCTGAGCGGGGCCGTATCATGCGGAGCCGACGCCAGTGTAAAAGCGCTATAAGATTAAGGCAAGTTGGCTTTACCAGGCAAAACAATCTGGCATTTTTGTGGCGCTTGAGGTGTTGACTTATTCTGGGTGTCGCAGCGTGACCTCTTTCGCACATTGCGGAGACATTCCTCTAGGAATCCTGTTGCAGGTCTATGTTTCCTTCCTGGGGTGAACCACGCATCCTAAAGTAAAAACAAAAACACATACACAACAGGAAAGAATACAAAAATAGCAAATTAGAAAATAAGAAAACCAGCACAAGCCTTTGAATGAGGTAGTGGATTCACTTGAAATTTACAATTTATTTATTGGGAGTATCCACTCTGAGGTTTGTGTTTTAATTATATGTTGGTCACACAGTGATAGGCAAGTCAAATTCGTCTGTAAAGCACACTTTCAGTGATAAGGCAATTCAAGCTGCTTTTGAAGACCTGCGATATTCTATAACAGTGCTTAATATTGCGATATTGATATTACTCACGATAAATGAACAAATACTAAAATATGCAGTGTTGATGTCGTCTGGCGTGTGACGTCTTCTCTGGGTTCAAAGCAAACAAAAACTAATGCATGAATTCCATTACAACATAACATTTTTATAGCAAAAACATGCAGCTGCACCTGCTACTGTATTAGTAGCAAAACAACAAACTGCATGCATGCAGTTTCTCAGTGACTTTAAAACATCACCTCCACCATAAAACTTTTTCTGATTCTCCAAATACAGAAAAACATCCCTTACCAGGGTTTTTAGAATAAATACTTTAAATGTTAAATAATAGTTAACATCACTTAAATGCAACAGCAAATTCTCTCATTGCTACTGAACATTTTCTCCACTTATGTGGTTAAGATATAAGGATGTTGCTGTAATTGGAAAGTGAACTGTGCTGGGCCAAACTAGGAGAATATTAAGATTTTCTGAGGGAAAGAGAAAAACAATCGTCTACCTTTCAGAAGAGGAACTGGCAAAAAAACTACATGGAAAATATGTGAAAACGTTTGTTTTTAACCCCAAATTGAACAAGTTTACCTAGATCTTAAAAAGCAGCTCAGATGATGAAACTGCAACTATGATTCTGATAACAAGCTAACTAATTGAACTAGCTCCTCTAAGATAACTGGCTAGCAGAGCTTCTGACTGACAGTTTATGTGCAGCAGCAAATCAACTATCCTGATTAACAAGGTTATAAAAGCTCATAAATGAAAAATCACTTTGATGTGTGGGGGAACTTTTCCAGGCCCTCTTTAGCAGGGTGGGACTGGGAGGAGAGTGCTGTAGCCTTTTAGCTGGAAGCTAACCGGAGCCACCACCCGGTGGAACACTAGCGACATGAAGGTGGGTTGGTTCACCGGCACGTGTCGGAGTCAGCCCGGTAAAAATGATTACGACACCGAGCGGACTCACGTTCACGTTTGAAAGCAGCGCTGATTCCAGAAACCTCAGCACAAAGTGTGTTCGGTGCTCTGAGCCAGAATGACGAACAAGGGAACGGCGCTGCAAACTATGTTCAGCTGTTGCTTTCCAAAAGAGTCTATGTAGGGGGCGGGCGTATTACGTGAACGGACCCATCTGATTGGTCGCATATCAGAAGGACTACATTTGATTGGTCAAATAATACTTCTGTGTAAAAAACAGAGCTGGTTTACAAAAAGCTGATGTATGACACGGATGGAAATGTTTGAACCAAACATTTATCGCTGTTTTTGCCGTGTTTTGCGATGGGCCTATCACACGTCCTGTTATCGCGATGACGATAATTTTTCGATATATTGTGCAGCCCTAATAGATATTAATATAGATGATGGTAGGACAGTTTGCTGACTTTTATGAGAGTTTTAAATGTCCTTTATTTTTGATAACATAATAATGTCATATGAAACGTTACTTACATAGCCTGTGCCAAGACTGTCCTTTAGACATGGAAACTGCTCCACTACTGATGATGCCAGCAATGCCTTTGATTCCGAGGGTGGACTTCAAAAGAAAATTGACATGTTACTTTATTATACACCCAAAACAAAAGATACTTTTGTACACTTATTATGAAACAGCTTTTTTATTGTTTTCAATCATATTTTGAAAACCATAATTTGTGATTCAACACTCCAAATCCTTTGGAAGAGATGGCCATGGTTTAAAAATCTACATTTGTTCACCAACTTTAAATAACATAAAAAAGAGAAGTCTATTATAAGTTTGAAAAGATGCTCACTTCTCTCCAAAGCACTCAATCAGGTGGGACACAAGTATCCTGACCATGGATCTTCTCTCACTTATAGAAATGTGATGGCTTTCTTCAAGGCTGTGAACTATTGCTCTTCCATCAGGTGTTTTGTTGAGTATCTCACGGATATTCTAATAATATGTGAACAGAGAAAAAGGGTCTAATTAAATCTGCAAAGAAACCTAAACCTTCAATACATCACTGGGAAAGGTTAGAGGGATTTTCTGGAGGGAATGATAAGAATCCATTATTACTTCTGCATGGATAGTAAGACTTACAAATGATGTTCCACCCTGGACAGGAGCCACGTGCTGCAATTTGTCAGCTGGTGCACAAACAGACTCCGTTTGTTTAGGGCTTGAATCCTGGTTAAAAAAAAGCAGGGGAAGACCCTACATAACTACAAAAAAATTGATAAAGCATCTATAATTCTGATTGTAGTTTTAGTTACATGGTTCAAATCATAAAAACAATTATGGTATATTTGTCAAAAACACTCAGGTATATACTTACAAAAGTGATGATGATAAAGCTGATATGCAGCTCCACAGTTATATTGATTTTAATCAAATATTTTAATGATTTGAATGTATTTACATTTATTTGTCACAAAAATGAGGTAGTACCTGGTCAAAGCTCAAGACAGTACTTAAAACCCTTTGGGTTTAAAATAGCCTGTACCTCAGTGAAATGTAGGTCACTGCAATTCTCCTTGTAGGATTTCACAGCATGGAGAGGGTGATAGTCAGCAATGGAATCAATGTCCACTGCTTCAATCGCTGAGGTAGGGGAAACATTGAAGGCAAAAAAAATGCCTTTCAAAGCCGATTGTTTCCCACTTTTTTAAAATGAGCTTAGTATTCGAACGAAGTACCACAATGCTCTGAATAGTTCCAAACTGAGGCTCGCAGTCATCTGTATGAGACATAAATAATGTCATTCCTGTCCTGTAGCTAGTGCCCTTGTACTTAATCCAAGAAGGCAGATAAACGTCTGTAATAACAGCAACTCCTTCAAACCCAGATTTGACCTTCTCAAAATCCTCTATTGTACCAAGGAGTTTGGTATATCCTGGCCCAACTTCAAACTCATGGCAAAACATCTGGCCTGACAGGAGAGTGTAACACATCATTATTTGATGTCTGTAGGCTTGGGTTTTACAGATATTTCGAAAGTTGCAGGTAACATGACTCACTCTTTTGAAAAACCCATGTTTTGCCTCAAAGCGCATTGACCAGAAGTGAACAACAGGCCCAAGTTTCCGTATGGCTCTGGGATAGTGAAGCATGAAGTGGTGTTTGGGTTTTAGATGTCTGTCTGGGAAGAGCTCTAAATAAAGACAATGGTGCTTCTCAATGATGTGCCCCAAAAAGACTACTGCTCCTTCTGTTAATGAAGGAGAAAAAATAAACTCCATGCAGCTCAACAATAAAAGAAGCAACTCCCAATATTTGTTGTCCTCTGGAATCAAATCCCCTATCATGAGGGGAAGCAGTCTTAGCAGACACCATGTTTGTGAAGCAGATTGCCTAAGTCCAGTATCAGGATTTTTCAAGTCCTGAGGTTTGATGGTTGATGGCTTGTTGTGGACATCACAAAATCCATAGTCAAAGCTTGTCAACCTGTAGTTCAGCTGATCAAGAGTGACAATTTTTTGTTCAATCAATGCATTGAGCACAAGCTTAATTTCATAACCACCAATCCCTTCGAGGATATCATGCATGTAGAGCTGAAACGATTCCTCGAGTACCTCGAATAATTCGAGTACAAAAAATCCTCGAGTCAAATTCTCTGCCTCGAGGCTTCGTTTAATTCATGTTTAATTAATTCATGGCTTTGCAATTGCCCGGGGTCATGTTTCACCCGGACCGAAATAAGTGACGCACATGCCCACTGGACTGAATGCACACGCGAGTAGCGAATATAACTTAACTTTCTCTTAAGCCATGGCGGACAACTTGAACCCCGGTGGAGTGCGAAAAAGACAGAAAATGTCAAAGTTGTGGAACCATTTTTCACGTCGTAAGACGGAAAACGTAGTCCAGTATAAATACAGTAAAATGGATTTAGCCTAGCACAACACCACATCCTCCGTGCTGCAGCACCTGTAAATGTCTCTTCTGCAAGCGGACTCGGATTCTCTACAAGATAATGCATTTTAGCCTGTTTTTCTATATATTCTGCGGACTCTGCGACTTTTTCGTTTGTAGCACTCAGTTTCAGCTCACACCGTACGTCTGGTAGCAACATGTCGGACTTAAAATGTGCTAAAAATAGCAGTTTTTACACAACACGTCGGACTTTTTATTGTGTTATTGATGTCTGTTGTCCCTCGGGGTTTCTGCAGGAGGACACGGGTATTTATGAGTGTGGCGGAGGAAAACGAAAGAAAGTAAATAAATGTTTTGTGATCAGTATAATTTGACAAAACCACAGCAAACATGCTTTTGGCAATCCTTGTTAGTGTGAGAAAAAAAGTGTAGAAATTAAAACAAACGTGTGTTAATAGGGAAACAGCCGGCGAGCTGTTTGCGCCGTGAGCGGTTCTGGTTCTGTTTGGGCCGCAGCCGCTCGCAGCGTTATCCTCCTAGTTTTTGTCTGGCTTGCAGGCTAGCAGATTCTCACACGAGGGGAAAATCGGCTCAGGTTTACTTATTTTTTGCACAGGCATTTGTTTACTGTGAAGTAAAGTTGAAGTGCTGAAGTTATGCAAACAAATTTTGAATAAAACTTGAATAACTGGCAATTGCTTGCTCATTTTAAGAGGTCTTTCATAATTATAACATGCTATTTGATATCAAATCAAATCACTTTTATTGTCACGTCACATGTGCAGGTACACTGGTACAGTACATGCGAGTGAAATTCTTGTGTGCAAGCTTCACAGCAATAGAGTTGTGCAAAAATACAGTAATGTAAAAACAAGTAAAATATAAAAATGGCTAATCTAAGTATACAAATGAATAAAGTAAACAATAAGATAAGAGATATAAAATGTACAGAGGTTGGTATGTGCAAAACAGTGGCATTAATGTACAGTATGGAGCGTGTAATGTTGGAACTTGGTGGAGCTCGCGACGAGGCAGCCATACTCGGCGCCATCTTGGCTCATCAATATATGATATAAAGGTTTACAAACACAAAAGGGTAATTTATTAGAGTACTCGATTAATCGAAAAAAAGATTCGATAGAGTACTCGATTACAAAAATATTCGATAGCTGCAGCCCTACATGCATGACATCAGGAGCAACATTGTCAGTCACATGGTAGAACTGCAACTTGTTAAGAGAGCACTCTCTCTTGATGCCAGTTTCAGCTGGTTTGTGTAGAAGCAAGTCTGAGTGGTAGTTAACCTTGTCACGTATTGATGAAGGAGCTTCAACTGTCTGTACCCTCAACACTTCCTTGTGAACTCGACACCACCGACACACGCTATTGCCTGCAAAGCTTTCTGTGTAACCAAGTATTCCATTAAGTCCAAGGTTATCACCACAGACCTGTGCCACTCCAGCCTTAACAATGCCTGAAAAACGTGTGGTTTCAACATGAAAGCCATTCAGTTCCATGTCTTTAATGTCATTCACAATTGGCTCTAAAATTGTGTTCATTCCATATGTTTTTACATCATCAGCTTTGTACACTGCCAACAAGAAGTGAGACTTTAAACTAGACATGTATTCCTGTGGCAAGCATTTCATTGTGAAATAGATAAAACCAAGTTTGTGGACTGATGTTTTTGCGCCAAGTGGATTCACCATCTCACACTCATCACTGTAAAGAACCAATGGAATAGAGAAATCTTTAGAGAAAAGTGGATTAGTTTCAAATATTGTGCCATCTCTGAAATCCTCTAAGGCAGCATTTTCAAGATTTTGCCATTCAAAGATCTTATCTATTGTTCCTGGACTTTCCAGAACAAGCTTCAACATGGGTTTCAAGGGAACATACTGGAAAGTGTCCCGAACTGCAACTTGTTTCACATTTCCTGACTCTCGATCAATTTCTTGTGTAAAGGAAAAGCCAGGGAGTGGTACTGCCTCTGGCTGTATGAAGAACCCAGACTGAGTAAAATATTTCATTTGCTTGTACTCTGATTCAAATCCTTGAAATGGTTCAGCTGCTTTGGTGAACTGCTCCATGAGGTCCTCTGCTTGTGGAGTCTCAGAGTGACCGATCTCTCTTAAAAAAGAGAGTGTTTTTCTCTTTAAGCAACCAACTACATCTCTGATAAGACCTGATGTGTTTTCAACTACATCTCTAATCCCACTGAATGTCTGAGAGGATGTTGCCTTTAACCTAGCTAAGAAGAGTGCAACTCTGTCCTTTATGTTGTCTTCCTCTAGCTCATCCCAATGTTCTGCTGTAGTCTCACAGCATTCCACCTCATTTAGCACACTTAAATGAGGATCTACTGAACTGTCAGGAAGTTCACCTGTGCTACTTTCTTCTGTTTCAATGTCAAACTCAATAGCATGCCCAATTATGTGTCGTCTGAATGATCTTATTTGATCAAAAGTGCGATGGCACCCAACTTGAGCACACTGGAAATAAGTCGAAGTAGAAAGTATATGATGCACCACTCTGAGATGGTTAAAAAAAGCTCTTATGTTATGACCTAAAGACCTATGACATTTAAAGCACACGTACCCCATTCTGTTTTGACCTCTGACACTGGTCATACCTCAAGTAATCTTTTTAAATTATTCTGAATTTTCAGGCGTGGACCCAGGAGAGGTATCAAAGTCGTCAAGCTGTTCGCATCCAAGAGGAAAAGGCTGTCTTTGTCAATCTTTTCAGCTGAAAAAAAGAAGGAAATTTGGATCACTGATCAATAAAACAACAAGCCACACACAGATGTAGGCCTGGGCAATAAAACAGTAACCATATGTACCGCAATGTAACTTTTTCTCAGTAGTAAAATGAGACTCGCAATATAGTTTGTCCATCTTTTTTTTCATAGCCAACTGAATTACACTATTAAAATAAACTATACCAGGACAGATTGGGAGAATTTGCTTTTAGTTTTTAGCTTATTCATTTGATATTGACAAAACGTTCGACAATTTATTCTCCTGTAAAACTTATTGTATCCTGAGATTTATTTTTAGTCAATATTTTGTTTCTAAGTGGAATTGACCAAGCAGTTAGGTCATTTTTTGTTCTCTTTTGAAACTTGAAAGCTTTAGTCCTGACTTTAGTTTATAATATTATGAACCTTTATTATTTTAGTCACCTGAAACAGATGTTATGTTCTCTAAGTACGACTGTCATGTTGAACCTTTGACAGGAAACTAATATTTAAATATAAAAGCAGCTTCTGATGATTTCACATTTAACTTTTAAGTAACAGCCCATTTAAATTTTACACAGTTTTTTGACTTATATTCCAATCTAATCCAATCCAATTTTATTTATAAAGCGCATTCAACATGGCATTACAACCAAATAAGGCGCTGTACACCAAAAATATATATTGTAATATATATATATATATATATATATATATATATATATATATATATATATATATATATATATATATCGACATTGACAGATCGTGATATGAAAAATCTTATATCGCCCAGCTTTACACAGATGTAAATATGAGTACTGGTAGTTACAGTTTTTTACTTTAATTACAGAAATACATTTACTTTATCATACCTTCAAAAGCAGGGATGTATTCAGAGAGGTTCCATTCCAGAAGTTTGTCCTTCACAAATTCATCCATCTTTTAGAAAAAACAGAAATCACATTTGGTTGCTGTATTTTTTTAACAGTTAATCACCAATATTACTTGCAGTTAATTAACAATTGAAGTTTACAAAGGATTATACAACAAAGCAGAAGCAGTATTTATCAACAATTAACACTTGAACTGTGCATTTAACGTCATCTGTTTGGTAAGATGCTGCTAAATCAGTAGCCAGTGAGCTCACCTGTCCGTTCCCTGTTTCAATCTGTTGTGTCCTACAAGCTTATTATTTTATAATGTCCCAAACACTTGCTGAAATTAATTGTTTTCATCTGGTAATATTGCCCACAACACTGGAGAGGAAATCTTCCGCGCTGTTCACAGCCATGCTGCTACTGTTAAACGCTAACAAAATAAAACGTATGCAAGTAGGGAGTAGCATAGATCATCTTTGGGCAGATTATCAAAAATAGAGCGCGTCCAGATCGATTCAAAAGCTAACACATTATCTCAAGGATTCTGAGGATTGGATGACAATCCTCAGAACTTCCTGACAGTTTTGTGGGAATATCTACAGTTATAAATTAACATCCAACTTTGTTTTGGTACACATCTACATATATTCAAGCTTTAACATACCTTGAGTGAAATAAACCGGGCATTATCATGAAACTCTGGCTCCCATGATTCGGATGGATTATCAAGCAGTTTACCTTTGGCGTGCTTCATCAGCTGGAACCTATTAACTTTCACGTTAATGTCCGCCCGTTTATTTGTGCGCTGCTGCACACGACTCTGACTGACACTGATTATATTTTATTTCACCGCTATGTAGCGCGAGCTGTTGTCAACTGAAAGCAGTAGCAGTTTGCGCGTTGCGCCGCCATTTGTTTGCTCCCCACCCCAGGGACAGGGGTTGTGGAGTTGGCGCGCGTGCCGTTATGTAACATGCATATGAACCTGTGAACGTAATCTGCCCGGCAACAGTTACAGTAGCGGGAAAGCTGCACGCAACCACTTAGATAAGCTATTATTCTCCTGTAGCACTATGCCTATTGGTCTCCTGTCTCATTTCCCCACAGAAATGTATAGTAGAATTGGTACTACCAAAGAAGTAGTGCTGAGCTACACAAGTAGCGGGAGGTATTGCACAGACCGCAGCATAAAGAGCCCCTGCTGCTAGTGGGGATGCTATGCATAGTAAGCCTATCTTCCTGAGCCTCATCATGTCTAACAAACAAAGGGAGGGTGGACAAATGGTAAAACACTGTCTGGAGCAGATAGTTGTGTCACAGATTTTCTGTTCCATTATATCTAATGAAGTAGATTGATGCTAGGAAGCTATAGCTAGCTAGCTACTCGAAGCTATATTCGGTTGAAAATCTCTTGTAGGCTTAAAATCTCTTTGTTTACTGCATTACCTGCCTTCAACTGCTTTACCAGAACACATTTTCAAACTCCATCATCAACATCTTACCTTATTTTTAAACATTGCTGGTGTGAAGGTCCATGGAAATGAGGCAAGTCCTTGTCATCCTCCACTTTAAAATGGTGAAGCTGGCACAGACGAGGGGGAGGATCTTTCTTTTTACCGCCCCTTTTAACCCAACATGCTGGGTCAAAATGTTTGACCCAATGTTGTATTAAATTGACCCAACTGCTTAAAAATCAGCCTTAACCCAGCAGTTGGGTTAGCAAAATAACCCAGCATTTTTAAGAGTGTAGTTTAATTACAGTTTGATTTATTTGACATCTGTATAATGTTTATTATTTTGTTTTTTCCCCCTAAATACCTAACGTTTGAGTTTAACATGAATATCAGTCATTCATCCCAATACATGAAGTTACACATTTTAAATTTTAATAGGGGAAGACTGCAGGAGGGAGCGGTAAAAGCATAGACTGTACATACTTGCTACCCGCCGGCTGTGATCACAAGCGACAACATATCAGTTCCCGCTGCTTCTTCGGTAAACAGCGCAAACAAAAACAAAGAAACTTGGGATCTTGTCGGCGTGGCGGTGGGATTTAAGGGAAACGCTGTATGCCCTATAGACTTCTCACCGAGCTGCAGTATTTCTCCGGTCAGATCTGTCTCTGAGAGCTCCAAGAGCGGTCAGCCCGCGCAGAAACTAGCCGCCGCACAGGTCAGGCTGCCTGGCCTGACCGCTGGGGATTACCGGATGGAAGAATGGACACAGGTGTCACTCCAAGCCTGCTGGAGATTTTAAGGGTTCAGATGAAAACACCCTACCACTCAGGCTGCTTACACATCGATATTAAGTTGTCGCTGTTGCGCTCACGCCGTAATACAGTATTAGATGCGGTTAAAGTCAGACATGAAAAACTCCACGAGCGGTCAGACCGCGCAGCAGCTAGGCGCAGCAAGTAGGAGCCGGATCGTCCAGGCTGCCCGGCCTGACCGCTGGGGATTACCGGGTGGAAGAATGGACACAGAAGTCTCCCTCTTTGCGCTCCGTCATATTTCAACCCATTTTGATCTTTTACCATATTACCCATCTGAATATGCCCTATTAATTATTTTACCGTATTTTACATTTAAATTTCATGGTTAAACAGTACATGCTACATGTTAAACTGATAGTTAGCTAGCTACTTCGGTAAACTCAGCTAGTTTAAAGGTGGCAGTGACATAAAATACGAATATAGATTTTAACTTACCGAAAAAAATGAAGTGGAGACTCCTTGGACGCTCTATTAGTGCAATTAATACCACAGCAAGTCATTTTGTCCAACAATTGCACCAATAATATCCAAAACAGAATTCACAAGCACAGAGACTCAAAATCCCGAAACAGCTTCCAGGAGGGGCCGAGGCTGTACTGAGGCCTTTCCACGGAGCTAGCTCTGTGGTCACGTGGGTCTGAGGCGGCGGTCACGTGTGTCGGATGCTCATTAATTATACAGAATTTTAGGCTTTCAATACAGAAGAGTGAGAAAAAAATTCACCCCCCTCAGAGTTGTCATGAGTATAAACTAGCTAATTTAGACAAAAAACATGTTTTGGCACCAGGCTGTAAACATGTTTATTTCTGCTGTGAAATCGGCATTTTTAACATGGGAGTCAAAGAGGATTTGCTCGCTTCTGGCACCAGCCCCCAGCGGATGAGGGTGGAACTGCAATTTTTCTTACTTCCGGGATGGGACCATTTTTAGAGCGGCATTGTGGGGGCTCTCAATTCAGGGTCTGCATCCTTCGAAGGACGCAGCCCACTCGGCCGACGTGGGCTGCGTCCTCCGTCGGCCGGGTAGACCGGATTATAACGGCTGTGAATTTGGACAGGCCTAGCCTTCATGAACTCCCTCCGCGAACGTTCCGTCGCCTAGCAACTGTGGAACCGCTGGGCAGAAGGGAGAAGGAACTTTAAACGATGGAGCTTGACGTTTTATTTAGCTTTTTAACCCCCAGAGACCCAAATTTAGAAAACAACTGCAAAATCTTTATTTAACCTTTCACATGTTGTTCTAGGCCAGATAAACGGGCCTATTTACACATTTTAACAGTCAATAGTGTTGCAGAACTGAACAATAGGACCTATTAGCAATGTAAATGTAGTTTTAAAAAGAAAAAATGGGGAAGGTTTATTCTTGTAGACTTAAATCTGATGTTGTAATGTTACAACCGTGGGTCTCTGGGGGTTAATCATTTCCTTGACTGTTGGAGAACTAATTCAGAGAAAATACTTTAGACAAGCTGAGCCTGAGCAAAGATGTGATAATAGTTTTTAATACTTTCTAAGGGTCTTAATTTGACCAAAACCCATTTATCACCTTTTAAGACTTTAAGACCCAGCGGATACCCTGTAATATTGAACAATTCTCATTTGTAAACAAAAATAAAATTCAAGAGTTTAATGCAGAACTGATTTTATTTAGATATTTCTTTTATATGTACATGTTTAATCTTTATTAACCATTTTTTTCTAGCAAAGTAAAAAGCTGTCAAAGTTATTCCTTCTCTCCTGGGCCCTCTGCCTCCCTCTGCAGCCTCATGTTCTCCCTGATCAGATCCAGAAGCTGGTCATCGCTGGCACCTTCCCCTGGATGCCCATTTTCTCCAGAATAGTCTTAACAAACATGTAAGAAAAGAAACAGGAAGAGAAAAGAGGACAACGGGTTATTCCTTTCATGTTTTCGCAGAAAAAATAAACTCAAACGAGTTTTTAAAATATGAGATGTTATTGTACCTCCATGCCACAGCCGCCGAATACTTTGCTCCGGTGATCATGTGGTCCATCTCTGCCCTAAGCTTAATAAATTCCCTGGTTTTCTCTTTTGTTCCTAAAATACAAACTTCTATTAAAATCAGGGGGAAAACGTAGCGGGAGAAATACAACACCGAGCGCGGCCGAACATACGAGCCGAGACCGCAATACAAGCACTTTTACTGTAACATTTCTAACTAAAATAACGTTCATGTATCACAAAAAGTCATTAACCTAACAGTTTTCAAGTTTATACTGACATTTATATGCGCAATCCTCTCCGACAGCTCCCGCTTCACTGTCCGCCATTGTTTTTAAGTTTTTCTGCTGGCCGGCCCGCAAGGCATCTTGGGAAATGCTACCTGTTGAAGGATACACCGGACCCATCCTTCATTCAGGCGAAAAGAAGGCCACATTCGTCGACCGCATTTGAAGGAGTCTTCGAATTGGGACAGGCCTAGTCGCGGCGCTGTGACGTAACCGGCCGACGAATCCGGCCGACGTAGGATGCAGACCCTGAATTGAGACACAGCCACTAAGCTAATCAGGCAGCATCACGTGGGTCTTCAGCGTTTGTGAGATCATACAGGTGACTCCAATTCCTTTACAAACCTTAAGGAATCACGTGGTAATCTCAGATTGTTTCATGGATTTTTTTACCTTAAACAACGGAATGACTGCTGGTTCCATGTACACGTTACTATAGAGCATTATTACCTTGTAGATTATTAGAATAAACAAAATTAATTTTGCTTTTTTAATTAGATCTTATAACTTCCTCGTGAGCATAAAGTGGGTGTAAAAATTAAAGTGGGTTGTTTAGGCTAATAAAATGTGCATTTGTTTATTCAGCATAAGCCTGACAAAGCAGGTATGAAAATGTCAGTTATTGTTATTTTAATTATTCAGATTTTGTTAACAAGTCCCTTGGTCAGACATTTATTTACTGTAGAGTTTACTACTGATAACCTCAAATAGGCCCGGAGTGGCTAATCGGGGTGTGGACCGCAAGGCGCGGTGTTGTTTTTGTTTGTTTGTGTGTTTGTTTGTTTGTTTGTTTTGGACCGGTGCTCAGTCATCATGCCACTGGGCTGATCCCTAAGACTGCCTACCTGCTGAAAGGGCCTCTCATGTCAGGTACAAAAACAAAAACATATTTTTTATAACTCGTCAGTTCTTGTCTTCTTCTCTTTTTCTGTTGGGGTTAGGGTTCAGTCATGGCTTTGATCAGACCGCGCTGTCCCCGGGCCGCCTCTGCCTTTTTTCTGCAGGCGCTTCCAGACGGAACACTTCAGGTGACTCTGGGTGGGAGAAGCAGGACTCAGGAGGAAAACTCTAGAAACAGACGCCACTAAATGTGCAAAATGGGCATTTTTCACTAAAACGTGCTATTTCCGGAGTCAGCAGCAAGACCCAGCAGCTTCAGTAGGTAGGATCACTCACTCACTGAGGGAATATTATGAGAATGAATAATGGAAAGGATTACAAAGACCTGCTCTATTAAAGAGGTCCAGATGTTGGCTCTGTCCGGTTCGGTCCGGACCTCACGGTAAAGCCAGGGGTGCAGACTCTCCCACCAGATCCACGGTGCAATTCAACCTGACAACAGTTATCTTTATTTTCATTTACATGAATGATCATGAGGAATCATCTGGACAAATGTGAAAGAAAAAAATCTGTAGAGAAGGAAAATGGAAAGTGTAGGAGAAAACGAGGATGTACTTCTTTAGTAAATGTTCACTGATGAGTTTTCGTGTTTGGGAAATTACAAGTGAGGTCAATCACAAGTTGTGTTTTCATAAAATAGTGTTTCCATCTGAAAATAAGTCAGGGTTTTATTTTAACTTTATTTCTCAGTGTTGCAGCTGGATGCTCTTCTGCGCACCTCTAACAGGTTACCAGACATTTGAGATTATTTTCTAGTTATTCAATTAAATTATAATTGTATAATGAATATTTTTCTAAAGCAAAGTTTTAATAAGTTATTAAATCAGACACATCAATGCCATAGACACAATCTCTGTCACACCGCTGCATCTTTCGGATCATTACTTCATCCATTTCAGCACGACTCTACAAGGGAGGTCCACTGCTTCCTCCCCAATGGTCTCATTCCGCCGCAACCTCCACAATCTGGCACCCAACTACTTCTCCTCTCTTGTTGCCTCCACTCTTCCATCTCCCAGCACATTCTCTGCTTATGAAGTGAATGAAGCCACCTAGTCACTCTGCTCCACACTCTGCTCTTGTCTTAACAACGTGTGCCCTTTAGCCACTAGACCTGCTAGATCCTCTCAGTCGCACTCTTGGCTAAATGATACCCTCCGGTCTCTACGCACCAATCTTAGAGCTGCGGAACGGAAATGGCGCAAAACAAAAGATCCTGGTCATCAATTGAAATTTCAGGAATTACTGTCCTCATTCTCTGCCAGCATCACTGATGCAAAGAAAGCTTTCTACACTGACAAAATTCTCAGCTCTATTGACTCAGAAACTTTTTTCAACATTCAAAACTCTGCTCAACCCTCCATCTCCACCTCCTACCAACATTCTATCAGCTGATACCTTTGCCTCATTTTTCACTGACAAAGTGGCAGCTATAAGCAAACAGTTTACTCAACTGGACACTCCTGAACATTCGCAACCACAAACTCCTTCTAGCCCAACCATCTCAGGCCCTACTGCTTCATTTTCCTCTTTTTCCCCTCTCACTGAGAATTGTGTGTCCAAGCTTCTCACGTGCAGCCGCCCTACTACATGCCCACTTGACCCCATTCCAACTAAGCTGCTCCAAGCTATTGCTCCTACAGTAGCCGCAGCAGTCAAACGTGATCAACACTTCACTGACATCCGGTACATTTCCCACCTCTCTCAAGCATGCTCAGGTTAAACCGCTGCCAAAAAAAACATCTCTTCCTCCAAATCACGTGGAGAACTACCGACCTATCTCTCTCCTCCCTTTTCTGTCCAAAATCATTGAAAGGGTGGCTTTCAAGCAGATCACAGAATACCTCTCACAAAACTGTCTGCTTGACCCTTACCAGTCTGGGTTCAAACAGGGCCACTCCACTGAAACCGCTCTGTTAGCAGTGACTGAATCCTTAAAAGAAGCTAGAGGGACAGGCAAATCCTCAGTGCTTATCCTGCTCGACTTATTGGCTGCATTTGACACTGTCAACCATGGCTTCCTTTTGTCCACACTCTCTAGCATGGGCATCACAGAGTAAGCACACGCCTGGTTTGAATCGTACCTCACAGGACGATCATTCAGTGTATCTTGGCTTGGACAATCCTCTACCATGCACCATCTTGCCACAGGAGCCCCCCAGGGCTCTGTACTAGGACCTCTTCTCTTTGCCACATACACCACCTCACTGGGTGAGATCATTCGATCACATGGCTTCTCCTACCACTGCTATGCAGACGACACCCTGGTCTATCTGTCATTTCCACCGGACGACCACACTGTCTCTGCATGAGTGTCAAACCGTCTCTCTGACATAACAAAATGGATGAAATCCCACCATCTCCAACTCAACCTCTCTAAAACTGAACTACTTGTCATCCCAGCAAAACCATCCATACAGCATAATATCGCAACCAAAATGAATTCCTATTAGAGCCCTGCACGGGCCTAAAATCTGAGCCCGTGTCCGGCCCGGCCCGAGGGGGTGGAGCCCCAGCCCGACCTGGCCCAAAAAGGTTTTCAGGATTCTCTAGCCCGACCCGAGCCCGAGCCCGACTTTTTTTTAACCAACTAAATGAAAACAAAGTGTGTCAATCCTGACCAATGTGTTAAAAGACGTGCAGGATCCGATCAATTTGTTTTTCCCTCATTTACCGTCACGGAGATGATGGTGCACTGGCTCTGGTGGTAATCAAGTTAAATTTTATCTCTTTCCAACAATTTTCACAAGAAAACAAAACAGTTAAAAGCAGGGCTTGTGTTGTGTTGACCAGATAGTTCCCGTATTTGATGGTTTATTTTGACGGAGAAAGAATAGGAAGAATTACCCCGACGCATGCAGACGAACTGACATTTCATTCCACGCACATCGCAGATGTTGCTAAATCACCCAAGAAAAGATTCCCATCTGAACATCTGAGCTGCACACTGCTCAGCGCAGCTCGCTGTCAGCGCATATGTGCACAGCGAGCTGAAGTTGTGGAGATTGGCTTGGAGCGCGTTGCAGAACCAGAGCGCATGCGGGAAGGTTCCTCCCACTGAAGCGAGTATTTTCCAAACCCTGTCTCTCAGAGAGACTTGTCACTTAGAAAATGTTCCCTGATTATGAAACTTTGGCTGAATAGTGCTTGTTCTTGTCTCCGATATGGTGACGCATCCAGGAGCCGTCTGAGGAGAATCCCAGAATCTCACATCCTCTTCAGCTCAGGAAGCGCCTCTGATTTTGCACAAGCGTGACCCATCAACCCGGTCTCACAGTAAGACTGGGTTGGGCCTGTTCAGGTTTACGCAGACAATCTTTACATAGAACTGACATACAGATATAAAATTAATTCAGTAAAATATAAAGCATTTTATTTAAATATCCATTCATTATTTTACTAGCACAGAGAGCCGCATCAGATTCAGATCAGCGGGAAGATTCCTCCGACTGAATTCAGTCGGAGGAATCTTCCTGCATGCCCTCTGGTTCTGCGATGCGCTCCAAGCCCCTCTCCACATCTTCAGCTCGCTGTATACCTTATGTAGTACACGCTGACAGTGAGCTGCGCTGAGCAGTGTCCAGCTCAGATGTTCAGATGGGAATCTTTTCTTGAGCGATTTAGCTACATCTGCGATGTGCGTAGAATAAAATGTCAGTTCATCTGCATGCGTCGGGGTAATTCTTTCTATTCTTTCTCCGTCAAAATAAACGGTCAAATATGGGAACTGTCCGGTCAACACAAGCCCTGCTTTTACCTGTTCTGTTTTCTTGTGAAAATAGATAAAATTAAACTTGATTAACACCAGAGCCAGGCGCACTGCGCCGTTATCTCCGTCACTGTAAATGAGGGAAAAACAAAATGATCGGATCCTTTTCTGACCTTCCCCACCTACAAAGTTTAATTACAACAATCAAACGTGACAGAGCCTGGATTTGTATTCTGAACAGTCTAAACATGTTTTAAAAAGAAACGTATGACAAACGTGGCACCTGCTCAGTAAAACCACCAACAGGGTGAAAAATATCAAAATATTGTCGGCAGAGACGGGCTACAGCTTCTGGATCCATTTTATATAAATCGTTTTATTATCGTCTTATGAAAGATAACTTTGACGAACACGAGCGACCGGTACTGGCTGTTGTCACCTGTTGTGAGCAGCGCTCTGCTGTCTGAGGGTAGGCCCCGCCCACAACGCCGCGGCTGCTGTGGCTCCCAGTGTTTTCTTTACTGTGGGAAATGGGTAATAATGGCTCTTTGATAGGAACAGGTTGCCGACCCCTGGTTTAAGTGTTTCAATTTTTTTTTTCAATTTTTTTAATGAATTCGATTAAAAATAAAGGCACCCGGCCCGGCCCGTGTCCGAGGTAATCACACAGTCGTTGGCCCGAAGCCCGGCCGTCGGGCCGTCGGGCCGGGCCGACCCGAGGGCCTAGGGCTTCAGTGCAGGGCTCTACTTCCTATCTCTGGCTCCTTCAAAGGCAGTTCGAAATCTGGGTGTTGTGATTGATGAACACCTGACCTTTAAAGATCATGTTGCCTCTGTTGCTCGTTCATGCCGCTTTGTGCTGTATAACATAAGAAAGATCAGACCATACCTAACACAACATGCCACCCAGCTCCTGGTGCAATCTACTGTCATCTCCCGCCTCGATTACTGCAATGCCCTTCTAACT